CCTTCCTTCCTTCCTTCCTTCCTTCCTTCCTTCCTTCCTTCCTTCCTTCCTTCCTTCCTCTTTTGAAAAAGGTCTCACTGTATAGTCCAGGCCAGCCTTAAACTTTTAATCTTCCAGCCTTAACCTTCTGATACGGGACTACAGGTGTGTGCCATATACCTTGTATTCTGTTTCTTTTTCATCATTTTGTTTTGCGAGAGGGTCTCATGTGGCCTTGGACTTCTGATCCTCTTCTTGTCTCCACCTCCCAAGTGCTCTCAAGTCTGTTCTTAAGGTTATTTTCTACTTCAAGTTGCCTTTTAACTTCAACCATATTAAAACCTGAAAGATCTTTATCCCTTAGTTATCTGCTTAGCAATGCTGAAATTTTCTTTCTTTTTTCTTTTCTTTTTTTTCTGAGACAGGGTTTCTCTGTGTAGCCTTGGCTGTTCTAGACTTGATCTGTAGAGCAGGTTGGCCTCTTCCAGCCTGCCTCTGCCTCTCTGAGTGCTGGGACTACAGGTGTGAGCTATCACTCTTTGAAAATTTCTAAGAACAGAAATCCTGACTACTGGGAGGCAACTTTATGTAAAGGCTGAAGTCAAGGACACAAGATATCACTCTGAAATCTGTAAGTTCACTCTATTAGAACAGCACACTAAAAGTGGACAACAGTAAACATTTCCTAAATCTCTGGAGAAAAAAAAAGTCTTTCTAAACATAGAGCAACAGAACATTCCAGAGATCTGATAAACTGGGAGGTAGTGAGAACTTGGCATTCAAGGACAAGACAAACCAGATTTTCCTCAGAATAGAGAGAACCTGTGGAGACATGAGTTACATATTCATGTACACTGGGCTCCCAATCTGGATCATGTACAGGCCAAACAAGGCTCATGTTGGAATCAAAGAACAAACACTGAGACCCCAATGAAGAACACTGGAATGGGACATATATGTTGAGAAACAGGGGCCAGAAATAAAGGCTGTACTGAAAACTGGCTAGCTTCCAGCATTTAGTTTCTGGAGAAATAGTCTATCACCCAAATAACTCCCCACAGACATCTTATATAGGTAATCGGAGCGGGTTTGTTTCCTTTACAAAGCTCCTTACTTCAACTCCTTTGGATCTTTGAAATTCGTAATTTTTAGACTTTAGAATGATGATGGAGATATCTATATGATATTTTTCATTCCTACACAGGTCTGGGGCAGACAATGCTAGTTAATTAGATTAACATTCCTGTTGTGAATATATAGATATTAACCCTTCTGAGAGAACTAAGACTCCCAAGAAACTTCATCCAGGTCAAGTTCTGAGGCCAAACAAATTCAGGACACATCAGCTCAGAATCAGAGTTCTCTGAATTTTAGAAATGCAGTTACTAACTATAGATGTGAATAAATAATGTGATAACTTTTCCTACTGCAGAAGTCAAGGCTTCCTGTGTGATTCTGACTTAAGTGTTTGTTACTTGGGAGAAAGATGAGAGAATTGTGTTTACATTGTATTACAAATTAGGGGAATTAGAAATATCTTGTCTCTTTTTTCATTTGTTTGTTTTCTAGACAGGGTTTCTCTGTGTAGCCTTGGCTATTCTAGACCAGGCTGGCCTCAAACTCACAGCAATCCACCTCCTGTCTCTCAAGCGCTGGGATTACAGGTGTGTACCGCAGCACCCGACTTTGCCTCTTTTTCTCCCCATTGTTATGAAACACTCTATCATGACACAGATTTTTTAAAACTTAACCTTCACAATTTTCTTCAGAGAACTGCCAATACTTGTCTTACTTTGCGACACTGAACACATATTGTTGAATCTACCTTTAAATTTGTTCTTTTTATGATTTCTGCATAACTAAGCTTATTACATATAAAATCCATGTTATTATTCAACTGCATGTCACATACCATACCTCTGAATTCAGGTGTGAAATGAAGAGTCTGAAGAAGGGAATTGAGGTAACAGGTTCCGCCCTGATTTCTGATTCCACTTAAATTGGTGAGTTCTCTAGGGGCAGGTGGCTCCAAACCTTTAGTCTTTAATTTCTTCCCTTTTCCATACTGACTATTTGACACACTGGAATAATCCTCTTCAAATAGGTTCCCAAACATTGTGGAACTAAACACTATCCTTTGAAGAAAATAACATGTTATATACATGCTTTTATTCTTGAAACGAACCTCCACCCCCAAATCTTCCTTATATTTGAAGGTAGTAGTTCTGTTAAATTGTTCTTCAGAAAATACAGTCGTTTGTGTTTTGAAGAAAGCAAGATCTGACTTCTCCTTTATACCCACAGAGGTCCTAATTAACCTGTTACAAGTTATTTAGCTAGCATTAACTTCTATGTAAAATGTGGCTGCCTATGTTTTTATAGGGTAATTTAACAAATCTCATGACAAAAGAAAGATACTGAGTACAAGAACTAATAACTGTTCTTGGATTCCACATCTCTAAACGAGAAAAAGAGAAATCTCAGCTTCTTCCATCCCTTCATATACTGTACCAGATCACAGCGTTTCAGCGAATTAAACCTATCATATTAATCTTCTTGATAGTAGTTTCAGCACCTGTCCCCAAACTAGAGAGCCTGGAGTAAGTACCTTGAGGAAGAAAAACTCTGGTCATTAGAGCTATGGAATCCAACACATCCAGAAATCCAACCCTAGCACTGGGGACCTGCGGGAATCTGCTGTTTCTCCTGTGGTAGAAGGGAATCTAAGGTTAAAAGGCTGAGAACACTTTCTAAGTGACAGGGACGGCCAAAACGCAGTTCTTTTCCTTTTCAAAACAGCCCTCTGAAGAGAAACTCAAGAAATAGAACTCGCGAGTCAGGCCTCGAGCTCGCTGGCTGGATTCCGGTCACGCCATTCCTCAAAGGCCTTCCCACCCACCAAGCCGCCCAGGGCCCAGGAGTGCGACCAGGCGCGCGTCCCCGCGGCCCGACCCCTGACGCGCCGCCAGCGGAGGCCGCGTCTCCTCAGGCCGCCGGTGACGTCCCTACACTTCCCTTGTCCCTCCCTGCGACCCCGTTCCCAGGCCCCACTTACTGCCTATAGCCCAGACCCCCGCCCCGGCCACAGCACAGAGCAAACGAACTCGCTCCGAACGCGCACCGCCATGCCGGCGAGGGCGGGTCTCTGGAAAGTGATTTCTCACCCCCACATGTGGACTACACTTCCCAGGATGCTTGGCGCCACGCGGAGATGTATGGGCAACGTAGTTCCATTGCTGAAGCCCTTGTGAATGGGGCAGAGAGGCTCTGCTCATTTTCTGGTCAGCTTTCATGTTAAAGTTTGTATTTATTGCTGCCTGAAAAAAAATTAAAGACTAAAACGTTGAAGCCACATGCTCCTAGAGCTTTCATCAATATAATGGAATATGTATTTATATATTTTCTGCTCTAGAATATGCAAAGGAACCTTAAAATGGTTTTCCCTCAAGTATATCTCCAATACAAAACTTGTGAAAATGTTTTATGTTCTATGACTCTTTCTGTGACTCTTACTTCGTCCTCAATATTTAATCTCTATCAACCTTAAGTAATACACACACACACACACACACACACACACACACACGTGCATTTTTTATATTCCCTTCAAAAGACCTATCCTTCTGGGGCGCTTTGGATGGGCTGGTTACTTTCCACCCTCTGTTAGGCCCCACTTGTATCTGCCTAGTCTCACCCAACCTCTATCAGGACCTGAATGAAGGAAACAGGCAAAAACTAATTTTTATTTCAGCTGAGAGTCTGAGAGAAACCAGAATAAGAATGGAGGGAGCTGTGGGGTAGGTATGGGAGAGTCAAAGTGAAGGAATTTGTATTTGGAACATTTGAGGGAGACTGGTGTGGCTAGAAGGCTCGCACAGTGTGGGAGAGAAAGGACTGGAGATGAAGATGGGCTAGGAACAAGAGGTCTGGGCCAGTAAACGGACAGGGAGAATCCACAGCTCTCAGCACTCCAGTCTGAGGGCCACTTTGCTTTTAGCAGCCTCCTCTTTACTTTGCTTTCCTGGCCACGTGACTTTCTGTTCTCATGTCTGTTGACTGCTCTGTCTCTCCTTAGGGTACTTAATAGCCCTATTTAGAATTGCAGATATACCCCTCATACTTTTATTCCCTGACCAAAACCCAACCATTGAGAGACCAAAAGATTAAAAATCAGTGGGTATTGTTTTAAGTTTAAAGCCGGAAGGAAGGCTAGCTGGGTGAAGATATGTCCAGCCATAATGTCCTGAGGGGAAGAACTGGTGTTACTGCATTCTTTTTCTGCCCATTAGAGATAAAGTTGCTAGGAAACTGGCCCATCCCCCTAAGGAGGGACACCAGATCACTAACGGTTTGGGGACCTTCCTATAGCCAATCAATTAAAAGTGTAACATCCCTTTTGCGGTTTGACCAATGGATGCTTGTCAGGCAGGAATCCCCCCTGCTTTGGACGTGCTGGGAGGGGCTGGAATCTTTAAATTACCCAACTAACCTGAGCATGAGGCTCTCGGCTCTCACTGCTTCGGTGATTGGGGTGTGAGCCCAAGCTGCAGCTTGTAATAATTTGCAATAAAAAGACCCTCATGTGTTTTGCAACGGACTTGACTCCTGGTGGTGGTCTTTTGGGATATGGCATTTCGGGCATAACACCATTACAAGGTGAGACCCACAGATATGGGGAGGCCTTACCTTCTAGGCAACTATACCCCCATGTGTCCATGTACTTCTTAGTTCGGTTTTAGTTTTTACTGTTGTTGGTGGTGATTTTTGTGTTTCATTATGTTTTGTTTGTAAACTTGACACAAGCTAGGGTCATGTGGAAAGAGGGAACCAATACTGAGAAAAATGCCTCTGTAAGATTGGCTTGGAGGCAAGTGGGGGGGCATTTTCTGGATTAATGGGGAAGACTCAGCCACTGTGGGCTGTGCCACCCTTGGGAAGGAGGTCCTGGGTTATAAAAAAACAATCTGAAGAGTTGTGATCCCAGCACTCAGGGAAGCAGAGGCAGACAGATCTCTGTGAGTTTGAGGACAGCCTGGACAGCCAAGGCTACACAGAGAAACCCTATCTGGAAAACCCAAAAGTTAACCAACCAACCAACCAACCAACCAAATGGAGTGAGCTAGAGGAAGCAAGGCAGTGAGCAGGGTTTCTCCTGAGAGACCAAAGAATTAAAAAATTAGTTTTTGACTATTGGTTCAAAATTTAAAGCACAAGCCTGAACAAAGGCCAAACAGGTGGAGACATGTCCAACCACCTGGAGGGAGGAACCACCCTTACTACATTCTTTTCCTGCCATTAGAGATACAGTTGCTAGGAAACTGGCCCAGATCCACTCTCTCCCCTAGGACAGCCAAACTAGGGAAGCCTGACCATTAATGATTTGGAGGTCCTCCTATAGCTGCCCCGACCAGCAGGGCTTCAACAGGGTTCCTAAGGGAGGAGAGTGGAAGGAATTGGGGGGGGGGGGACAAGAGACACAAGAAATGAAAGCCAAGTCTGTTTGTCTGATGAAGGCTTCCGTTTATTAGAAATTTTTACCCAACTTATATAGGGAGAAGGCAGGAAAGGGGGAAGGTAATTAGCTGCTGCAGGAAACAGGAAGAGTGCTTTCATGGGTTAACTATTGTACCTGCAATATACCATAAGGATGTTCTCTTAAGATATCTTACGGATGCTCTAACAAAGGATGTCCTCACAATCTATCACCCATGATTTAGGGTCTTAGATAACTCTTTCACTAAACAGCTTTAGGTCTCCACTAAATGACCTTTGTTCTCTACTTGGCTTTGGCTTCAGTAACTACTTTTGTCTCCACTAGACAGCTTTGACTTTGGCTTCCGTAGATAGCCTTGGCTCATTAATTGACTTTGGCTTCTGTAGATACCATTGTCTTCACTAGATAGCTTTGGCTTTGGCTTCCATAGATAGCTTTGGCTCCCGGCCAATCAATTCAAAATGAAGCATCCCCTTTTGTGTTTTGACCAATAGACTCTTGCCAGGCAGGAATCCCCCTGCTGTGGGTGTGCTGGGAGGGACCGGACTCTTTAAATCAACCACCTAACCTGAGCACAAGGCTCTTTGCTCTCAACTGCTCTGGTGGCAGGGGTATGAGGCCAAGCTAGCTTGTAATAAAAATAGCCTCTTGTCAGGAGCCGTGACTCCAGTGGCCTGCTTTGATATTTAAATCAGCGGAGAGATGGCTTTTGGGAGTCTTTACTAATGGCAGGAGAACTTGCAAGTCCATCTCCTTTTGTTTGTGACAGCAGGTAGGATAGCTTGTGAGGATCACACCTCTTCCTCAGGCTCCTTGTGCAAATTAAACCATTGTTCTGAGATGTTTCTACTCTGGCTTAGAAACTCTACAATAAAAAGACAGGCCGACAGTTACTGCAGAAGAAGGTTGAAGATGATGCTCCAAGCATCCTGTCTCAACTCTTGTGTAAACAGGACACAAATAAGCAACTAGATACAATGTTGTGCGATGGGAGGAGCCAGAGGACAGGAAAAAGGGGAGGAGCTAAAGAACAGGAAGGGGTGAGAAGGAGGAGGAGCTCCAGGAGAAAGCTCAAGGAGAAAGCACGAGGAGGGCAGAGCTGGAGGAGAGAGCTTAGAGGACGTGGAGCATGAACCAGACCTAAGATTTCACAAAAAGCAAGTATAATGTGGGAAATCTAAATGTTAGGAAACAGAGGGCTAGAGGCAGAGACTTGAGACTTGCTGCTTGCACTGCTTGCTGCAGCAGCCTGCCTTTTGCTGTGGCTGTCGAGTCTGGACCTTTAAAAAGTTTCCTGTGTGCTGTGTGTTTATTTAAATAATATTAATCCTCACTCCCGACTCAAGAACCGTTCGACTCTGCCCGGCTGGCTCCAGCAGCCTCATGTGTTTTGCAACGGACTCGACTTCTGGTAGTCTTTTGGGGTCTCTCAAATCATGCACTACACTCCATGGCCTCCATTTTAGGACCTGCTTCTAGGTCCCTGCTTGATTTCCTGCTTTGATTCTCCTTCATGATGAGCTGTAAACTGTATGAAATAAACCCTTACCTGTAGAGCTCGTTTTTTTAACACTTTACTTTATTTGGGATGTTTAGGCTTCAACCTTCCTTCCAACCTCACAACCCTTACATGGGAGAAAAAATGTTAGTGGGAAGAGAGGGTCCAGACCCCTTTACTTCTTCCAGCTGTTTAGGGTCAAGGGGTTCTTTTAAGGCTCTATACCAATCTCTATCAACTGCAGACACAGCTGGCAGCCTCCTCTACACTGCTGCACCCCAATGCATTTCTCTCCATTTGTCTGCTCTATTGTCTTTGGTGTCTGGTCATTCCAAACTGCTACCTGCAGCACACCACCCCTGAACACCACTGTTCTCTTTTTGGGCTCTCATATGTATACCCTCCAAGCCCTAGACCATGCTCCTCTCAGTGCCACACTGGGAAGGCTGTTACCAGCTGGCAAAAGCCATGTTCCGCAGGAGACAGTTAACAGGTGTGGACAAACTATAGCCCAACTAAAATCCCACACTTGGGATTAAAACAAAAACATATTTACATAACATAACTGAGTGTACAAAGAAACCAAAACTTTCCTTACACTTGTCTTCCCAAGTTGCTTTTAGTTGTGATGTTTATCAGAGCAATGGAAAGCAAACTAGGCCTCCCCCCACCAGCCAGCTTCTCAGTACCTGGCTTATTACAAGATTTTAATATTAATCGAATGAAAGAATGGGCCATATTAGCAGGAGGGTGGAAGACAGTGGCATCGAGAGCAATGTAGATCAAGATGGGCCCTGTGTAAATGTATGGCTGTTTTCTTTGCCTACACTCTATGTTTATTAAAAACTTTAGGCCTTAGTTTACTGTTGTTCCCAGCTAGTTCTTGTAACCTATGTTTAATCTATGTTCTGCCACATGGTTTGTTATCTTCCATTTTGGTCTTGTGCACCTGCTTCTTTGTCCATGTCCCGACGGCAAGTCTTCTCTCTGGTCCCCAACTTGAGACCCTCTCTCTGGGCTCAGAAGTCCTGCCTCCTAATCCTGCCTCAGTTTATTGGCCACCAGATGTTTTTTAAAACCAATAAGAAGGTGATAGAGATCAGTGTTTACAAAACACTGAGATAGGAGATGCTTCA